TCCGACTTCCCCCGACCTACTAATATCTTATAAAAACATTTGAATTTTGTTACAGGTAATCGGCACGATTTTGTGTTTAAGGAGTCATGGAATTGACTGGAAGCGAGTATTGCAACAGGTTTTTGGGAAACATATAGTAAAAGTAAGTACTATATTTTTTATTCATAACTAATTGGACTAATATTGACAGTATTCTAATTTATATATTTATCTTCATTATCCCTTAGCTTTCATCAGGAATTTAAAAATATTTATTACAATTGCCATGGGCTTCTCTGTAGATGGATATTGGGCTAGCTGCCATATAAGTAATATATTGCTCCAACATTTTGCATGACTGGTTGCGTGCTTACAATTAAACAACCCTCTTTTGTCGTTCACAGCTTGATATACACCATAGAGTTATACTACGATTGTAGGTTGGAGCCACATATACAAACCACCCACACATTGGCCTGTTAAATGTAAAGATATTTTACCCAGGCTAATGATTCACTCGCTTAATCATATTTGAATATTGGCGACAAATAGGTAGACGTTTGGGTAAACAAACCGACTACGGAAGACTTGCGTGCCCAAGAAGCGCTGCTGGCATGTGGCCATTCCAATTTTCCACTAGTTTTACTCCGCTGTCCATATTTTTAAATATCTTCGAATGGCTAGCATCTATTGTTACGCCATGTTGCTGCTCTGTTGATTTGCGAATGAAGACAGCTTCGCAAAATCCCTGAATACACACAACCAAAAAGTATTAACATTCGTATTCTCGTTTTTCCCCCCCATTAATTCAATCGGGTTATTTGTGGGCGTCGCATCGATTGAGTTCAACCCTGCGTAACATTTCGAGACCTTTTTTTCTCGAGCTTTGTCTTGTCGCGTTGAATTGTGTGTGATGCTCGGCTATCAACGCTCCTGGTCTGCTTTCTAAATAGTTTGAAACTTCTATTTCAATTTTATGGACTATTATACGAAAGCCATAGAACACCTTTTTCAAGTTTTCAAGAGACTAGGAGTATACATACTCAAATAAATTGTAGTTGAAATATAACAATATCATTTTTTTTTATGGGTTGTGACTTTTGATGGCATGATGTTAATTAGTGCTATGTTGACTTGGTGGGCAGCAAGTATATTTCAATCCCAATGCGAACCATGTCATTCGAAGTCAATTTTTATAATATTGTTTAATTGAATGATGGAATGCTTGCATTTCACAAATCAAACTTAATCTTAGGGTTTGTGTAATTTCTAGATTCCGCTGGTATTGCAAGTCAACTGACGTTTTTCGCATGTGACTGCATTCAAACAAATAGCGGAACATGTTCGAGTACTCTATTACTTTGAGTTACAAATTTGACTTATCTTTGCACAAAAAAATTGAAAATTGAAGTTTAGAAAAAGATCGTAACTAATTTATATATATATATCAGTTTCGTGCGTCAACTTCGCATATTTATAACCCTTTTTGTGACGACTATCCAAAAATAACAACAGCATATCCATCCGTCGTTTGAATTGTAGATGCTCCCAAAGTATTTGTACTAAATGGCGCAATACTTGAACACAGTATGTGTACACAGTGACGAATACTGAATATACTTACTTCGAATGGGTAATCTTAACACCTGGCATAAAGTTTTTGCCAAGACCATTTTGTAACAGTTGGCAAAAACTTCTACTATCACAAGTTGTGAAGTTAAGGTGAAATGTTTTCTACCTGTATGTTGCTGGATACAAAATTTAGAACCCTCAGACAATAACTACCCACACCAAGTATTTGTCACTCCAAAGACGTGAAGACACTTCAAGATTTTGTCAAAGTTTAGGGAATGATTTCATATTCATAGGTCGGTGGTGAAAAGGGCTAGACGGCTTGATCTATTGTCTAACTATAGTTACCAATTAAATTGTGGCACTGGTTAGCCGGTCAATTAATTTCATGAGCATGATGGCTAATACCGGTTTATGAACCACCTCCCGCACACACCGGGAATCAATTACCAGGATATACGAACTAATGGCACGATATCGAACGTGTGCCTAACGCTTAGATCGTTGATTAAAATATCTTTTCTTGTATTGTGTATTTGGCTGACGTTGACTTGAGAGAAATTGTGTTAGCGAATAATAATATTTTAGCATATATAACATTTCAAAGGTGCAATATAATCCAATAAGCAGTGTGGTGTCGATGACCAGCTATGGGCAAAGTCAATTCGTTTTGTTTGGACGTTTCTAAGATTTTGGATACAGATTGGTATCACTAACGAACGTAAATATATTGGTATACATATCCGGTCAAATATTTCCCTATAGTGAATAATTTTTTAATCACAAAATCAGCGTCGTTATAACTCACTAACGCTTTCGAAATTCACAACCTTATCTGCAAATCAGTCATATCCAAATAATTATTCTAATAATAGGCCATATATATATATATAGCCTATAGAGGACTTGCACGGGTCACGTGACCTTGTTTACTGGACGGCAATAAAACAAAAACGTCCATTTGGCTCCTGTCAGTTGCAAGTCGGATTATACGTTTCCGTGTTGTTCCGTCTGTTAGAAATGGTTATTTCGTATTGTTCCGCTGGATGTACGTTTAGTATAGACAACGAAATGAATCTTCAGTTATATTCTACTGTTTTCAAAAGATCCGGAACGTCGCGCAGTGTGGATATCATCTATTGGCAGGACTGCTTGGTGTCAAGTCCAGAAGCCATCTCACTTGTGTTTCACTGTTTGCAGACAGCACTTCGTTGATGGTGAGTCATAATGTGCCGTTATCAATTTTTTTAAATATTCATAAGCTCCCTCATTTCAATGGAAAGCAGATGACAAACTACTGTTATTGGTAGGCCTAGGCGTAGGCCTACTTCTGTACTTGCAGACTCGACTCGTGTAAGGTATTAATCAATAATTGCTATATGGTATTGTTTCCCTAGTTAGCAGGTAATCTATTAGTAAGTGTGAAAAGTTGAACAGATAACTAAAGTTCAACGCCAGTGCTAATGCAAAAAATAACCAGAATTCAATTGAATTCTCCATCTAAGAATACGCTCGCCACCGCATCTCTGATCCCCCTGGGAGTTTCACAGGTTGCAATCCCATGCGGGGATAGTTATGTGCGAGGGGATTGCAGCTCTCGACAAGTCCATGCTTCAAAAACAAATAACTGGCTAACTAATCCCGACATAGAATGGTATCATAATCGTACGATGTTGCACCTTGCAATCTGTCCCCAACCACAGATAAATTCTATCCTAAACACTACCCACATTGGTAGACATAGTTGCATTTTAAATTGAAAGAAATCTTCATTAATGGTCAGAAGGTGTTTTCTGATTGTTTTATTAGTTAGCAGGTAATTTATCACTAATCTGATACACAAACTTGGCACTGTCAAATGATGATTAGTGTTTAATTTATTTTCAGGAAAAAAGGAAGATAACCAATTATCATCTGCTTATATGTCCCATTGATATTTGAATTTTCGCCATCTCCAGAGAGGAAGTGAATAGTTAGAAAAAGGGGGATTTTGAAGAAAGGCAAAAGGCATGAATTTCAACAAATTCTGTTAACTTGCATGCGTTGCAATATTAATTTGCAGTTGTACGCATAAACATTTAATGTGTCTTTCGACTAGACCTACCACACTTTAAAAGAAGCCGCCTACACCCCTTTTCACTAGAACCATATTACTGTAAAATATTTGATAGAAATTACCCCCGAGGCATCATATCTTCCATTTGAAAGGGCTGTGGAGGCAGATACATTTTTACTCTAAATTATGGAATGTTACTTCCAGGTTATCTTATCCTTGCTTATAGATATCTTGAGGTCAGTGACTCCAACTGACCCATGCATGCCACACTGAAAATTCACTTGTGTACCGATAAAATTAAGCTGTTGGAGCCTTTAGACCAGGGGTCGGCAACCTTTTGGCACTCGCGGGCCAAAATTGAAGGCTGCTATTACTGGCGGGCCGGACATATTTTGGCGATGGCACAACCTGAACTCAAAGCTGGTACACATACTATGTTGAAGGTTGTGCGCCACGTTTGTACACATACTTCAGGAGCAGCCATATTTTTTTAAGAAAGTTATAAACCGAATGGGTTGTTTATTAATCACATTTTTACACAGATCAGAAATTGAAATTTTAGATTGTAAATAGCGAGCTCTGTGACGACTCGTGAACTTAAGTCGCCGTACAGGCAAACAAATTAGAAAGGATATTTAATGTGACACTTGTTGTTGCATTACACTTGATAGCTTTTCGACGTCAGGTGACACACTGGATGAAGCCAATATCAGAACATTTTCTAAATGGGCATCACTAATACTGGTTCTCCGCCTGTTCTTTGTAATGTTCATTTTTGAAAATAATTGTTCGCACGCATATGTGCTTCCAAACATCGATGTGAATTTTTTCGCATGGTTTATCAAATTCGGATAGATATTTCCCTCGAGAAGATACTTTTTATAAAAATCAACCAGTGACACATCTCTCGAATAAAAAATGGATTTAATTTCCTCATTGCATTGCATCTCAAGAAGCTCCATTTGAATATTTTCTGCAACTGTTTCTACGTTGACATCAAACGGAGTACTAAACAGCCTGAATTCGTTTTCAAGAGAACGAAAGTCAGCAAAGCGTGAGGAAAAATCGCTTCGTAACTCCCGTATTACAGAAACAAACTCAAAGTTGCTTGTGGGGTTTCTTTCTTTAAGTGTGTTAAAGTGAGCGTAATTTGCTTTTTTCAGTTGGCTCTCCCAGAGGCATAACTTTCTTTCGAATGCGAGTATATGTCTCCACATCTGATGTACGAGCTGATTTTTCCCCTGGAGCTGCAAATTCAGTTTGTTTAGATGGGACGTTAAATCAACTAGAAATGCCAGTTCAGAGAGCCATTTTGGATCGCGAAATTCAGGAAAATTCTCATTTTTGCTTCCAAGGAATGACGCTATTTCATTCCTCAGTATAAACACTCTCTCTAGCATTGTACCCCGACTAAGCCAGCGAACGTCGCAGAAGTAAAGTAAATCGCCGTATTCGTTTTCTGCATCTGAAGCAACTGACGAAACTGGCGATGGTTCAAGCCTTGAGATAACACAATGTTAACAGCTTTCACTACTGTATCCATAACACCCTTCAAACTCAAAGCTTTGGCGCACAGGGCTTCTTGGTGAATCAGACAGTGTATTTTGACGATGTCGTTATCAATTCCGAGGTCACTTATGTGTTTTTGAGGTAGAGCTGAGACGCCTCGATTCTTACCTGTCATTGCCGGGGCTCCATCGGTGGTTATTGATACCATCTTTGATAGATCAAGGTCCATGTCTCCAATGCATAGCAGCAATGCGCTCAGAATGTCAGCACCTGTTGTAGTTCCCTTCATGGGAACTTGTTGGACAAACTCCTCAACAACGTCAAAAGCTTCACTTACTCCACGCACGAAAACTGAAAGCTGAGCGGTGTCTGCCGCATCTGTACTCTCGTCAATTGCAATTGAGAAGAATTGTAAGTTATTGATGATATCCCTTTGACGACGCTTCACATCCCTTGACATTTCTTCTATTCGCCGAGTCACGGTTCTAGCAGAAAGGCTGATATTTGAGAATAACTTTTCCTTATCAGGACATACAATACCAACGACGGTCATCAAGCATTCTTTCACAAATTCACCATCTACAAAGGGCTTCATGTGTTCTGCAATTAATTTAGCCACCTCGTAACTAGCAACAATATTTTGTTCGGTTTCGTTGTGTTGTTTGTGGAAGAAAGAACTTTGCTTTTTTAAACTGTCTTTTAACTGTTTAATCTTGTCCTTCCTCCTTTGGCTATCTAGTTCTGAAAATTTGGGATGCTTTGTCACATAGTGGCGTCTAATGTTACATTCCTTATTGACAGCTATAGATGCGTAGCAAATCGAGCAGGTAGGTTTGCCCAAGTGTTCTACAAAGAAATACTTTGTTGTCCACGTGCTATTGAACCCTCTTCCCTCAGCATCAACTTTCCTGCGCTTTGTTGCCATTCGCCTAATTATAATTATATTGCTGGCTCAATAAACCTGTTCACTAAATTACTAGGTTATATTAAAATTTAGTCCACTTCACAATAAATTCTGTTACATAAACAAAACAGCTATGCTCAAATATCCTCTTCTAAGCGAGATATTTTATCACCAATTCCCCGAGAATCATATGAGGCAACTTACCGGTATCGGGATATTGTCACAGCTTTTCCAGGTCCTGTGACAATGATCTATTCTTCATAATTCAGTTTTAATGTGAATTGAAATACCAAGTGATCTGAGTCACCTCTATATTTCCAGATCAAGTACCACAGCCTACCATTACCCATAAAATCATTTCCATAAATCATCTGCGTTAACTTACCAGTCCGGTTACGGTACAAGGACTGTCATGCTTTTCCAGGCCCCGTGGCGATTACACATTCATTTTATTAAATTTTAACATGAATTTGAAATGCGACTGATCCGAGTCATTTCTGTATCACCAGTTCAGGCCCCACAGTCTAACGTTCCCCATAAAAACTTTCGCCCACTTTCGCTAATCACGAGATACACCGACGTTCGCTGAGCACGAAATCGGCAGATACGCGTTCGCGGAAACGCCACAAGGCGGCAAATTTTGGAGACGAGTCGTAGCACACAAAAAACGAATCCCATAGAGCTCACAGAAATAATTGAAATGAATAAAATACCGTTTAATTAATAAAGACCACATAATAACAAAACGATCCATAGCTCCGTGTCTAATAATCTGCTCCTCGAGGGTAGATTATTAAATTAAATGGTGAAAATTCACCTTTTTGCAAAATTCACAAATTCGTCGTTTTGTCTCTAAATTTTGGTGAAGCGTCGCGGGCCGGATTGCGTTACTCCGCGGGCCGGATCCGGCCCGCGGGCCGTAGGTTGCCGACCCCTGCTTTAGACCTTGAAAACAGTCGAATCTGAGCACGATGGATGGTTTCATGTGAAACACGTAATATTCATTTATAAGCAAAAATATCCCATCCTGAGCAGCACCTATCCACAACCTACACAAATCGGTGTACTGTGCGCATTCACAAATCTTTGCGAATCAAGTGTGCCTTTTGACTAAAGAAAATTTAGCATTGAAATGGTCAATCTCAATATCACCCTAGTATCTGCAGATAAAACCAATTGTTTTTTAAAAATACATTTTTGATGTGCTTTATTTTTCAAATATAATTTATAAATATTGTAAGGTGTGTGATACATTTGGTACCATGAATACCATTTGCAAATTAGCTTGGGTTACACCCCTCTAAAATAAAAGTTTAGACTCTTAAGTCATATCTCCTAATATTCTTTAAACAAAAGGTTGAGGCTAGCCGGCTACCCATCAGGATTTTCTTTCAGATCACAAAGTCGCAACATCACGCCTCGCTAAGTTGCATTGGCAACTGTATCTGGTTGTAGTATCGGTGTCCAACTTTAGACTGAAACCTTCACTACCAGACCCACCGAAACAATTATTTTCTTGATAGGGTCGTCTTGAAGTTGCTTTCGTTAAAGGTGGGTTATCACGCAAACATTTTTGTAGCAAATTTGATTCTATATAATTTATTAAGATTTTTGGTGTTTACCGTTTGCATAAAATCGACTTCGTTTGCGAGACTCGAATTTTTAAAAGTCGACCCTGTCGAAATCGAACGCAAATTAGTATGTCCCGTTGATGACGTAGTAGTGAGAACTCGTCGGCGAAACTTTGCATTAGGTCAAAGGCAATTATAGCATTCTGTGTACTCATTTTGCACCGTGTGCTAGTTCCATTGGGCGGCGCATTTGGAGAAAGCTTTTGTGATTTAAATCAATACCAATATCTTTAAATAATATTATTGCATTATGAGAAATTGCAGTATACTCAACTAATCGAGGTCAAGACGTACTCGAGTTCTGTGCCGGACCTTTTGCTGCAATATATTTTCTAGTGAAAAAGCGCATACCAGGCCATTTTTATAATTCATGTGTGTTTACTCTGCTTATCTGATCCTATAACTAGTCTTTTTATTATATTTTCGGTATATATAAACTATCTGACTATACCGGTATATGCGCAAACACTACCGAAACGTATGAAATGTGTAGTTGGTGGTTACAGCAGATTTCACAGGGATGGATCTGTCTTGAAGCAGAAAACTATAGAGAAAATTTTTGCAAGTAACCTTTTCTGATGTCTCTCCGTGGAACTAGAAGAAGACCTCTAAGTCGAAGGATCGTTTCAGCCTTAAAATTATGTTGGAAACCATGCAAACTTTTACCCACAGCCCGAAACAACAATACCTCACGCAGTTATTCAAATCAGTTTTTATTTATTTTTAACATTTTATTACAAGTTTTCATCATATGTAATTCATTCATGCCAATAAATGTGTTGTCACGAATCTCCAATAGTTGATCGAAAACAGCTGGACTGGACTGGTGTTGTTAATAGCAGTGTGCACTGGAAAAAGGTAGTATACAAATTAAATTGATAGAACTGACATAAAAAAAAAGATCAGGATATTATCACCAGACAGTTTAGTAAGGTTCAACATACAACAGTGTTTTGTTGCATAATAATGTGAAATGAATATATAAAAAAAACTGAACCATTATTGGGATTCTACGTTTATCTGGTACCGGTAGTAGACTATCACTCTTTTGGTAAATGTACAAATTGCTTTGACTAAATATTTTATCCAACAGTCGATCAACGAAATAAAGTGGTAAATACTTACTCTAGGATCAGTTCTTCAAAGCCTGACCAAAGTCAGTACCGGTACGATCATTACATAAAACGCCGTGGCTTGATCCCCTCACCTTCAAAACTTCTTATGCATTAGCATTTATGCTTAACAATACATTATAGTTTCAATCTTTTTTAAACTACGCGATGAGAAACTAGATTTAAACGCCAAAAACAGAGGTTGGACACCTTACTCGCCAAGGGCGAAGGAGCTAATTTCTGGAATGAGTTCTCACTATTACGTCATCAAGGCCGTTTCTGAACCTGGGTCGATTTTCGTTGAAGCGGTTTTTAAAAATTCATAAGTAGAAAACTAAGTCCATATTATGCAAGCGGTAAACGTTAAAAATCTTAAAAAAATATATAGAATCAAATTTTCCACAAAAATGTTTGCGTGATAACCCACCTTCAAAGCACAATGGACACTTTATCTCCACCAATCCACAGTAATCACAAGTTACTTTGTCATCACGATAAGCATCAATAAATAGATACTAAGGATGTATTATCAAGTCACGCAAGCTGAGGTCTTGTGCCAATGTGGTCTTGTTGCAACTTATACTTTGCCATCCATCTATTCCATGATCGCACCCATATCAGTAAGATAATGAATACAGATAGAGTTTTCATAAAATCTATCGATCAAAGGCAGGGGGGCAGTTATTTGTTTTCAGAAGCATGGACTTGGATGGTGGGGAATGGTCGTAACCGATCAGCGGTCAAGTGAACCACCATCGGTGGGAGTAGAGCTGCAATCCTCTCGCACATAACTATCCCCGCATTGGATTGAAACCTGTGAAACTACCAGGGTGATCAGAGATGCGGTGGCGAGCCTATTCTAAATGGCGAATTCAATTGAATTTTGGGTATTTTTTCTAGGCCCCATGGTGTTAAACTTTAGTTATCTATTCAACCTTTCACACTTAGTAATACATTACCTGCTAATTAGGGAAACAATACATGATAGCAATTGATTATTAATTCCTTACTGTCTTACACAAGTCAAGTCTGCAACTGTACGTAGGCCCACGCCTAGGCCTACTAATGACAGTAGTTTGTCATCTGCTTTCCATTGAAACGAGGGAGCTTGTGAATATTTAAAGAAATTGAAAACGGCACACTATCACCACATTATCACTCACCATCAACGAAGTGCTGTCCGCAAACAGTGAAACACAAGTGCGATGGCTTCTGGACTTGACACCAAGCAGTTCTGCCAATAGGCAATAGATGATATCCACATTGCGCGACGTTCCGGATCTTTTGAAATCAGTGGAATATAACTTAAGATCCATTTCGTTGTCTAAACTATACGTACAGCCCACGGAACAATACGAAATAACCATTTTCAACAGCCAAACAAAACGGAAATGTATAATCCGACTTGCAACTGACAGGAGCCAAATGGACGTTTTTGTTTTATTGCCGTCCAGTAACAAAGTCACGTGACCCTTGCAAGTCCTCTATAGTAGTTGAAACTGCCTCTTTCGCTTCATTATATTTTTTGTTGTTTACCACTGGATACGCTGGTGATGCATACGTTCACAGATTTTAGTGATTGTGACTTCATAATACCCCGTGCGCGTTCGCTGCGCGCGCTGCTTCAGGACCTTGATTCGACCTTCTCAGGACTGTGGGATTGCAGATTGGTGGTGCGAGGTTAGGTTTTCGTTGTCTGGTTGCAAATTTGTAGTCCCAAGGTTTTAAATTGTATTTTTAATATATTTAGATTTAATAACATTAACTTGATTTCATTAACTGTTCCAATCAACTGTCGATTGTTTTGTAAGCTGAAAGCTACACTGTCAAGTACGTATTTCAGTTTATTGTTTTTATATTTAGGGAATATTTCGGTTGTACCGTGTTTTATAATGACCATTTTTGTAATCAGCCGCAACTGTTATTTTACTGGCGTTAATCTGTTAAGTTCAGTTCTAATGTGTACAATTTTGTTTAGTTAATGATTTGAATTGTCGACTTATTTTTTTTCGGCACATTATTTGTTGTAATTATTGTTTGTTTGTTTTAGTTAGAAAACCGTATCCACGTATTGAAGTATTGTCGTAATCACGTACTGTCGTATTCTCGTACTTCTAACATCGTACCGACGTATCTTTGTACACCTGTACTTTCCTGACAATAAACGACATCAACTTGTACTGTTATACGCGTCTTTTTGCATTGGAGTGACAAAATCAGTTTACTAAAACAGATCGACCATCTAAGAATTACACCTGGTGTGGGCGCTAAAGGCACT